TTGCAGCATAACGAACATGCCATGTAAATGCCTTTGTTCAGGGGCAGACAGGTGTCCCGGATTTGTTGCCACATAACCACACTGCAGTAGCAATGCCTTAAGTATGCCAAAACTATCAGTAACAGAGGCAATAAGCACTTCGGGGCATGGGAGCAGAAGAAGGCACACGTTGCTAGTTCGCGTAGTATATAGGGAGAAACGTTTACAGACCTGTACGAAAACGAGCATGTCCTGGTTAAGCGTCAGCATTACGCTTGCGCTCCCATGCCCACTAACGCGGCGACGCTCTGGCACCTCCTTTTGTAGGCCCACCGAAGGGTATTGTGGGAGTGAGGACAGGGGTGGTGATGCTCCCACAATGACGCGCATTACGCACAAGTCGCTCCGAAATAACCCGGTAGGTATGTGAATGTTTAAAACTAGAATTACAACCGAAGCAAAGAAATTAAAGAAATCAAACGAAGATCACAAGCTGAAACCGGATCGCGTATTCCCCTCTTTAGTAAATATTTTAGAGCTTGATATAAATGCCAGGGGAAAATTTATGTGTGATTCGGCCAACTTTTAGATAGCAAGGCTGCAGTGTTGTGCAGGGTATACTTAAAAAAATGTACCGTTTTTCACTTAAGAATAAGCTACGAATCGCCGAACGCCCATTCTAGCCCAAAGATACCGTTAGCTGTCCAAACCAGATGTAAAATAACTGTTATCTTATTCAGAAGTCATACCCTAAGTAATATTCTGAATATTTCTAAGGGAAAATGAAAGCCGACGGAGATCACGAATGCAGAAAGTTAAATTGCTCCACTTACCGACAATGTATAAGAACGGGCAACATTGTTTCAGTAAAAGTTTCACAAAATCCCCTATAACTTCTGCATGAGATGACGATTAGCTCTGAATCATTTGGCATCTGGTTCAGATCGATAGCGCTACATTTGAGAGGAGAATGAGGGATCGACAATCCATAGTTTAGTTTTGCGCTAAAAAACAACAAAAAGCAAACATATATACATTTTGGGAGAAGACCTTGTAGTTTTTATGTTATCATCTGGAGCCCACAATGCACAGGACGGATATGAGTGTCGTGTGAGTTTTCGGCTGGAGCTGGTGTCCTCACTGATCGAAAACGCGCCCCAGTCGAACGTTCATGCAGCACTCGCGTGAAATCTGTGTCCATCACCGGCTTACGGCAAGTGACGCAGAAAGTATAGCCCTCTGGCCTTGCCATCTGCAGCTACCGACTGGCCTAGCATTCACTGGGCGCTCTGCTTACAGGCGTAGCGCACCCGCTCACGAGAAGAGTGGACGATACCATTACCCGGCCCCGTTCGCATCGCCTTCTCATTCGCTACTCATGATCTTCTTGCCAGTGAGCAGGAATTGCGGAGGACATAGCCTAGCCCACTTCCGGCGCTCGAACGTGACTGTTGTGCTATCATAAACTCCGACGGAGCGGTGATGGCGGCCGCGTCAGGCCGTGCTAGTCTGCATTTGCTTGGTCTGAAGATAATAACGTTGTTCTGCTATCGCTACCTACTTATTATGTCGTCACCGGCGCTGTTTTCCTTCTTTGCGACGTGAAGGGGCGACCGTACCGCGTCCTCGACTTTCGCCAAGAACTGCAACGGCTGGGGTTATGAAAGACTTGGGGTCCGCCTGTCCTCATCAAATGAATCATGTTTGGATGCTGCAGATGCATTCGCCAGTGGCCAGGACGATGTTGGTCGAGGCGAAGGAGTTAATTATCAAAGGGGGACGCTGCCTTATCATTGACCCTGCGAACACGGCAGTTAGGCTCAAGATTCATTGGGTCCCGTACAACGTTCACAACGGCCAGGTGTAGAAGTGGCTGAAGCGCTACGGCAAGGCGTCCGAGGTCACCAGGGAGCTCTTCTGGGAGAAGGGGTTCGAAACTGTCGAGTCTAACAGCCGGATCGTGCGTCTGACGCTCAAATAAGGTTACGCCGTCAATGGCCTCCCTGGCCAGGCATAAGTGGGTGGAAGCAAATGAGCTCATTATCAATGGGGGGACGCTGCCTTATCATTCACCCGGCGAACACGGCAGTTAGGCTCAAGATTCATTACGTCCCGAACAACGTTCCCAACGGCCAGGTGTAGAAGTGGCTGAAGCGCTACGGCAAGGTGTCCGAGGTCACCAGGGAGCTCTGATGGGAGAAGGGGTTCAAAACTGTCGAGTCTAACAGCCAGATGGTAAGTCTGACGCTCAAATAAGGCTACACCGTCAACGGCCTCCCCCATGAGATCCGCCTGAAAAAGTTCGGCTGTACAACACTAGAGCGCACGACATTAGAGCGCCGACTGTAGAGCGCCGACTGTAGAGCGCCACGACGTTAGCGCGCGCGGCACGAGAGCGCAGCGACGTTAGAGCGCACGACCCGAGAGCGCTGCGACATTAGCGCTCGTGTCATTAGAGCGCCCGCAACGAGAGCGCACAACCAGTCAAGCGCGAATGGACCGACCACTTCTTCGGACATCGCGTGCTTTATTTGGAATAGGCGGGGATTTACGCCGCGGAATTCAGCAGGGACATTACGAATGAGTCGACGAAATGTTTGCGTGTGAAAAACCAACAAGTGTCACAAAAACTGACAGCAAAACAAAAAAACAAAAAAATGAATAAAAGTAGCATTCATTTCCGGAGTAAAAAAGACATCGGAGCTGTTACATTTATTGGCCGGAATGCAGGTCTGGCAAAGCACTTTATTGTGAAGTGCAACACAGGCAGCCTCGGGACCAACAACTAGTGGTACATCAAATCGGGGCTCAATATATACAGATAAGATACACCGGACGCAGGCGCACAGCACTCTGACGTCATACATAAAAGTGCATACTTCATGGCATGCTGTTATCATACACACGCAGATACGACACTCCCTCCCCAACTATTATTCAAAACACTCCTATTGAAAATTATCAAACCGGAAGCGATCAGGAGGTCGCCTGTCTCTCGTGCTCCTCCGTATGACACAAGGAGGTTCCTTACTGGTAGGCATCCCACTTGGGTGACGTGCAGGCTGTGCAGGCAGATCACCGCTGTGGTTACTAGCAGCAGGTGTAGCGACTATGTCTGCGGCATGCGGCATGTCTAGCTCGGGACTACCTTGCGGCTGCTCCGAACTTTCAATGGACGATCGTCGCAAATGATCAGCGTGCACAAACCTTACTTTGTTTCCGACGACAACCAAGTATGTGGATGGCGACTTCACGTTAACCACTTTACCGGGAAACCATTTGACTACATCACCACGCAAAGAACGTACAAGTACACGGTCGCCCACCCCAAAAGATCTCGGCTTAGATCTACGCTTATCGGCACACATTTTTACTTTTTCAGTTTTCTTAATCATTGCACTTTTTATATTTGGCCGTAGCAACGATAAGCGAGTTCGCAGTTTCCGTCTAAGGAACAGTTCTGCGGGTGTCTTTCCCGTGAACGTGTGCGGCGTTGTGCGATATGAAAACACAAAATTGTCAATTCTATGTTGTAGTGACCTAGTATTTCCTTTTTCTTTGTCATGGAGCAACTGTTTCAGGGGTGCTTTCTTTGTTGTTTGTACAGCACGCTCTGCCACCCCGTTCGATTGCGGGTGATAAGGCGGCGTGAGCGTGTGCTTGACACCGTTAGCTTTCAAAAAGTCTCGAAATTCCGAGGCTCGGAACTGCGGACCGTTATCAGTCACTACTTCCATCGGCAACCCATGCGATGCAAATAAAGAACGGACAGTTTCAACTGTATTGTATGCGGTCGTCGAGTGCATTATCTTGACTTCCAACCACTTGGAGAAAGTATCAATCGCCACAAGAAACGTCTTTCCTTCTTTCTCGGCAAAATCCAAGTGTACTCTTTCCCATGGATTTTCAAAGAGCTTCCATGGTGACAACGGTGCAGGCTGTGCTGCGGGCAGGACACTTTGACAAATTTTACACTTCCGTACAGTTTGCTCGAGTGTTTCGTCTATACCAGGCCACCAGACCATTGACCTTGCCACAGCTTTCATTTTGTTATTCCGAGATGTTGTTCATGCAGTAAACCTAGAACAACATTCTGCAGGGATTTTGGAACAACAATTCTGTTTGTCCAGATAATACAACCGTCGTCAATGTAGAGTTCCAGACGTCGTGTCCAAAATGGCTGCAGTTCGTCAGGCACACTTTTAGGCCATCCAGACCATATCATGTTGCGAACAACCCTTAATTGGTCGTCGCGGGCTGTTTCACGCTCGATGTCTTTTGCAGTGAGTGGCAGATCACTGACCGGAGAAAAATAAAAAATATCTTCCGCGTGTTCCTCAGTGTCTGCAAGTGGCAGTCGCGACAAAGCATCAGCGTGGCCGATAGACGTTCCGGGTTTGTGCGTTACTTTGTAACGGTAATCGGCCAAAAATGTCAGCCATCGGTGCACTCTTGCCGTGGCAACAGCGCTTCCCTGTCTCTTAGGGTCAAACAATATCGTCAGCGGTTGGTGATCTGTCATCACGTTAAAAGTTCGCCCGTACAGGTACTTATGAAACTTCTTTATGCCGAACACAATGCTCAGGGCTTCTTTTTCTATCTGGCTGTAATTACGCTCAGATGTTGAAAGTGATCGCGACGCAAATGCTATTGGTTTCTCTTCACCGTTCACAATATGTGCCAAGACGACCCCAAGGCCATATTCTGACGCGTCACACGTTAGCTGAATATCTTTCGTGACGTCATACAGCTGGAGAACACTTTCATCAGTCAGCATTTCTTTACAAGTTTTAAACGCGTTGTCACACTGACATGACCAGTGCCATTTCGTCTCCCTGCGCAGCAGATCATGCAGCGGTTCTAGCACTGTAGCTAGACTAGGTAAAAATTTCGCATAGAAATTTACCAAGCCCAAAAAATCTTTCAGCTGAGTCACGTTAGCCGGTTTTGGCGCGTTTTTTACGGCTTCTACTTTCTCTGCCGTGGGGTGCAACCCATCTTTGTCAATTTCGTGCCCCAGATACTTCTCTTTGTTGAAATAGCTTGCATTTTTCAGCGTTGACCTTTATGCCGTGCTGACTTAGGCGTATGAGCACTTGCTCAAGTCTGTCATGACACTGTTTACGTGTCTCTCCTGCGATGACAACGTCATCTAAATAGCAGGCGGTTCCCGGCAGACCGTGCAGGACTTGATCCATGACGGCTTGAAAAAGTGCCGGCGCACACGCTACGCCATATGGCAAGCGCTTGAACCTAAATAGGCCCAAATGAGTGTTGACAGTAAGCAGCTCTTGTGCTCGCTCGTCTAGTTCGAGCTGTAAATACGCCTTCGAGAGGTCAAGGACCGAAAACACGGTTCCACCACGTAGGGTGGCAAAAATGTCCTCGGGCAGCGGCAAAGGGTACTGGTCAACTTCCATATAAGGGTTAACAGTGACTCGATAATCACCGCAGATCCTAAGCTCTTTGCTGTTCTTTTTCGGCACGATTACGAGCGGCGTAGCCCATTCACTGTGCCTTACCCGGTACACGACTCCAGCTTTTTCTAATTTTGCCAATTCCTGCTCGACCTGCTCGCGCAAAGCGTATGGCACTGGACGCGCCTTACAGAACACCGGGCCGGAGTTTTCTTTCATACAAATGCTAGCCTTAAACCCCTTTATCTCTCCGTACCCTGGCTGAAACACGTGGCGATACTTTTCAGTCAACGGTATCGTTTCCGAGGTCAAGGCCTTCACTTGCACGAATTCATGCCATCTGATTTTTATTTTGCTGAGCCAGTCTCGGCCAAATAACGTAGGCATTCTTGCGCCTTCAGTTTCTTTTGCGATAACCAGTGGCAATTGAAAGCATTGATCATGGTATCGAACTTCCACGTCCACAATTCCTTTTATCGCGACAGGCGTGCCATTGTATGTCACGAGTTTGACGTCCGCTTTCCTACAGCTTGCATGAGGAAGGTGCTTCGTGCACTCCGTTTCGGACATTACCGACACTGCGGCACCCGTATCTAGTTCCATCGGAACTTTCTTATCATTTAGCAAGACTGTAATTACAATGGCAGGCGTGCCCGAACTCTGGTTCGTGCGACACAACGAGAGCAATTCGCTGTCACACTCGCCCTCGGCTACGTGTTGCACAACTTTTGTTTTACACATCTTTGCAACATGTCCCTTTTTAGCACACTTATAACAAGCGCTGTTCAGAAAAGGACAACTTACAGGTAAGTGTTGTTCTCCACACCGGTGACACGGTTTTTTAGTCCTTTGGTCAACAGCTTTCGTTGCTTTTTCCGTGCCCCCTTGACTTGGTCGGCGCGTTCGTCGTCGCTGTCCGACGCGGAGGTGCCGGTGCTTGTTGCCAGTTGACGTCCGCGGCGTTCGAAGATTGTCCCGCGTTGCTTGACGTCAGCATTTCCTTTGTGTCTTGAGCCGCCGCTTCCATGGCCGTAGCTATGCTGCATGCACGGTCCCAGGTGAGTTCTGTGTCGGGCATTGCGAGAAGACGACAGCGTATGGTGTCGGCGTGCAGACCCGCGATGAGTCTGTCGCGTAGAGCTTCCTTGAGGAAAGCGCCGAACTCACATGTCGCTGCGAGCTTCTTCAGTTCGACGGCGAAGTCAGTCACGGTCTCGTGAGGCCCTTGGTTTCGTCGATTGAAACGGAAGCGCTCTGTGACCAATGAACGTCTAAATGCGTAGTGTTTTTGAAGGATGCTGGCAGCTTCCTGGTACGATACCTTGTTCGGCGCCTTCGGCAGAAGCAGGCTCCGGAGGACGGTCTAAGCTTTTTCACCGATAGCCGTCAAGAAGACTTGCAGATTCTTTTCTTCTGCGATGTCATTGGCTGCGACGAACAGCTCGAAGCGTTCCAGATAAATCTCGAAGTTTCCGCTGTCCGCCTGGAACTCCGGTGGCTTCCCGATAGTTGCGGTCATCTTCCGTTCCTTGGCTTCTTCAGCCATCTTCGTCGCCAATTGTTACATTTAGGGGCCGGAATGCAGGTCTGGCAAAGCACTTTATTGCGAAGTGCAACACAGGCAGCCTCGGGACCAACAACTAGTGGTACATCAAATCGGGGCTCAATATATACAGATAAGATACACCGGACGCAGGCGCACAGTACTCTGACGTCATACATAAAAGTGCATACTTCATGGCATGCTGTTATCATACACACGCAGATACGACAGGAGCTGACCTAGCTTTATTTGTTCTTTGATTTTAATTGATAAAGTTCACCATCGACCTGACTAATTTTTATTTAAAATTATTTTAAAACGTTCAGAAGGAAAAAAAACAACATGTAACATACTTAACTGTATTCTGGAGTTTTCAAGATCAATTTCGGGAAAGGAGCTCTAGTGCTAAGTATCATACGGCAACCATTCATATTGTTACAAATGACAATTGTACTAAAGGCTTAATCGGGGAACCTGTGCCGACAACGAAAATGAAATATGCGTTGATGTCAGCGTAGTAGAGGGATAAAGCGCTGGAGCGAGGCCGACAGAATTCGGTGCGGCAGGCACCATTTCCTATGCGCTTCTCGGAATCTCGCCGCTATAAATTTTGACGCATGGGTTCTGTCTGAGGAGACGTTTTTGTCGGAAAAACGCTTACATACGAATCCTACAATCAATCCTTTAAGTTTACTACCTGTAGCACTATCCTTGTGTAAAAGTTCGATCTCTATTCATGTCTAAAACATTTCAGTTCGAACTTTTATTTCTGTTTGTGCTGCGGTTTTTTCTTCGATATTCATATATTTCTGAAATCTTTGGTTTCCATATATTTCTAAGTCAAAGCGTTCTCATTCGGACCTAGAAAATTGGATACTTTCTAAGAACAAATGTGGAGAAGCTACGGTTCCATGGAAAATGCAAAGAACGGACAAAGCGATAGACAAGTCTTTTTTTCTTTGTAGGCTTTTTTTCTGGGGCATTCAGAAGGAGCATTGCCTTTAGGTTGTGTTCTATCAATAACAGAAGGTGATGTCGTCACCGTACTCGACGGGTCAACAAATCAGGATTTTGGAAAAAAATTCTCAAATCTATTCCACAGATTTGCAGGAGAGGTTTTCCTGTATCCGTCAAAAGGCTGGAAAGTTCTGCATTATATAAAATTGCGCTGAGCTTTGCTTCGATGAGTTTCTTGCTGAGAGTTTTTTAGCGGTGAGCTTTCTTCATTACGATCATGGACGTCACAATACTACTCAACATTATGTGAGGGGCGTCTAAATAGCCACCAAATAGATCGGAGCCCAAATGCCTGTAAAAATAGACGAAATATAGCAAAAAGTAAACTATTTATAGTATATCCGAGAGGCGCAGCGCAGCAGCGTGAAGAAATCTTAGATTCGCTGCTCCACCCAACTGCAGACATTCCCGGTACCTATATGCCCCACTCCCTTGCCCCTGCCCGTTTCGATCTGGATGAGTATCGTATCGGCGTGCGGTCGTGTATCACTACTGCGTGGTGCACGTTAAAGACCCCAGGCTAGCGGTTGTACCGCACTGGCTAAATTGCTCATCTACTGCTGGGTGACTCGTCGTCCTTGGAGGCTGACCAAGTTCTAGGCTGTATAAACATAAACACAACCCATATTGTTTTTTGCCCCCTTTCCTCTCCGATGTCAGTAAACGACTGGTTAGAAAAAGTCATACGCGTTTTATTGTTATTTTTTATTAAAGGCATATTTAATCAATCAAAAGTCACCAATGCTTCAATCCGATGAGTCGCACAATTTTGTTCTGACTGTGGAGCCGCTGGTACGTCCCACATTTTGTGGTGTCCGTTCAACTGGGGTGCCCTCTCGCACGGCAAATCGAGCGGCCGTGCCTCTCGTGTCGTGCGCTCAGCTGGTCGTGCGCTCTCGTGTGGCGCGCTCAACTGGTCGTGCGCTCTCGAGTCGCGCGCTCAACTGGTCCTGCGCTCTCGCGTCGTGCGCTGTAATGTCAAGCGCGCTACTCTCGCAGCGCCCTAGTGCCGCGCGCTCTAACGTCGGCGCTCTAGTGTCGCGCGCTCTAAAGGCGCTCCACCAAAAAGTTCAACGTGCTCGTCGTGGTGACCTGAGACGATCCGCTCTGCCTTCGCTGCCGTCTTACGGTCCAAATTCGCCGGCAATGCCGCGTCCCGCGTTGCTCCGACTGCCACCGGTACGGTCATGAGGGACAAGACTGCATCAAGACCTACACAACGAAGTCCAGCTGGCACAAGTTGGATGACAACACCGACTACCTGATGGATTGCGTTAAAGCGGAGGAAGCTGTAGGAGGGTCGCCTCGAAATGTGCTGCCACCGACGGGGTACAGAGACGTTACCGAGCCCAAGGACAACGGCTATCCTGTCTTATCGACTCCTGAGCGTAATCCTGGGTCGACGTCGCGAGGGCAAGACACGCCCCGGGACGGAGTCAAGGAGCGCCTGCCCGTGGCTCCAGCGCGTTCCGAAGGCGGATCATTCGAAGCGGTGAACGGCCAGTCTGGTGGTGAGGAGGGCGACGCAGTAATGTCGGGCGGACAGCACTACGACATGGACGCCACTCGGACAGTGAAGCGATCGAGGGAGCCAGCGTCCGCGCCGGCTGGAACTATCCTAGCGACCAACCAAGCGTGGCCTCCGCTGGGACACAAGGAGAGTCGGGTCGAAGTCACGATCAGTTTCCTTCCGGAAGATCGCCGGAGGAAGCACTCTTAGTGATTGCTTTCGGCATTTCCGCCTCTACTCGTCCCCAGCGCCACTTTCTTTGTCAAATTTTTGCAGCGGAGCTTTTAAGAGCTAGGTTCCCCTGGATCGTGTCCGGTACCAAATACATGTTCGACACAAACCTACACAAACCCCTGGATAGCTACCGCCATCTATAAGCGACGGCGGGAAGCGCACAACCAGTGTGGTTGCCGCCGTTGCTCGTAGATGCCGGCAACTTTTACAGCTGTCATGGACGAATGGATAGTTGGGCGCGTTAGTGGGAATTCATCGTAGGAAACAGCGCGAAAAACAGACGAGGATAAAGAAGAAACACTCGTGGCGAGTGCAGCGCTCGTCACGTGTGTTTCTTCATCCTCGTCTGTTTTGCTCGCTGTTTCCAACGCTCTTATCAGTTTCGGTTTGGACTCACGATGGGTCGGCCGCGTGCCCTTTCGGTGAAAGAAGACTGGGTGCGGAATGAGCGGCGATGTACGCAGCAGCGCGAATGGGTCCGCAACCGAGGCGAAGCCGCTGTTGCCCCGACTTCCACTGCGTCCACCACTTCATACTCCCTGGAGAAAGAAGAGCACGTCATTCAGCTAGGAAGCGGCCGCCGAGAACTGAACCAGCGATGTAAATGGCCCCGGCGGGCCAACGCCACGGACGACGATCGTTCCACGGAGGCCAAGCACAAGCGCGAGGCCCGACAATAGACAGTTTTAGTGGATCGTACGCTATAGCTTTGCGTACGCAAGGAGATTGCGGGTCGTGAGTGCGCATGCGCAGAACGCAATAGAAAGGCTAGCGTATTGCGTACGCACGCAACGCTGGGGATTTTGTGTTGCTGGCTAGCGGGCCTTGCAGGACGCTCTCGAGAGATCTCGGACCCAACGAGAGCGCCAGTTTCAAGATGGCGGTAGCCTCGACTGGCGCAGCAAGGGCGACGTG